AATCATTAACTTCGAAGAAATCGTTGCCGAAAGCGTTTTTCTTCGAAGTTAATACTCCTGGATTGTTTTTTTCAAAATCAAAAAATCCAAGCTGACGAACCGAGCCGCGCTACGAGCCGAGCCACAGCATGAGCCGGCTTGATCGGCTCGCAAGCCGTTTTATAGCGGTTCGAGCCGAGCTTTCACAAGCCGGCTCGGCTTATGCGGAGCTTTACTTTCTATCCACATACTCGTCTAGAACTTTTAATTTGTCTTTTAAGGATCTCATATCTTTCTTCAATCTTTTTACCCTCTTTTCTAAAGTGTTAGGTTGGGAATGATAATCTTCCAATTGTTTCTTTAGTATCCTATTTTCAACGAAAAGCGTACTATACATATTTGTATCTTGTTCAGGTCTAAGTAATTTGGTTATTTTTTCTATACGTCTGATAACTTCCTGCTCGATATCTGTACTATTAGATGAATGCTTTTGATTAGTTACCATTTTTGTGTTATATTATATACGCTATATCTTACCTTAAGCGAAAAAATAAATTAATAAATGATATCCTGACCTCTAATCCTTATATGTGGCTAGTTTTCATCAGAGATCTGAAATGATCTTGCCTGATGATACGGTTCTCCTCTTTTACACATATTGATTATAGTATACCTCTTAGATGGAAAAGAATAGTTATCAGGAGAATAAAAATTATATGAGGCTTTAATCTGAATTAAAAAATAAAACAATATGTTTTAAAATGAAGATTTGGTTACCCATAGTAGGAGCAGATTACTTTATTTCTAATATCGGACGTATCAAAAATAAAAATAGCAGGATTTCAGAAGGAAGTATTCATAAAGATCATGGTTATGCACAAACAAAGATTGGTAGAAACAATAATTATACGTCTATTAATATTCACAGATTAGTTGCAGAAGCCTTTATTTCTAATCCAGAAAATAAACCTTTTGTTAATCATATTAATGGTATTAAATCTGATAATCGAGCAGATAATTTAAAATGGGTGTACCCAAAAGAAAATGCTAATCGTAAAGTATTTCTAAATCCTGATTGTGGTAGATCTAGAAAAGTTGTACAAAAAACATTAGATGGGAACGTTATTCGGATTTGGGATTCAGCCAATCATACAGGTATTACACTTAATATTAATAGAAGAAATATTACTGCATGTTGTAGGGAAAAACGAAATATTGCAGGTGAATGGGCTTGGATATACTATGATGATTATATAAAATCTGATCCCAATGAAGAATGAAAGGAGTTGGAGATCGATTCAGAAAAATTCAAAGTATCGTCCTTAGGTAGAATCTGATTACTAAATGGAATGATTACACAAGGTTTATTAAGCGAAAGGTATTTTCGAGTTTGTAGTGAATACCAGAAATATATGGTTCATCGTATAGTAGTACTAGCTTTTTGCCTGAAAGAACAAAGAAAAAATTATGTAAACCATATTGATGGGAATCCTACTAATAATAAAGCTTCAAATCTTGAATGGTGTATACAAAAAGAGAATATGCAACATGTAGTATTTTATAAATTATAGAATAGATATAAACGTACTGTTAAACAGATTTTTCCTGATAGTTCTACACAAGAATTTTTATCATTAAAAAAGGCAGAGCGTGCCACTAGAATTAAAAGCCAAAATATTAGCGCAATATGTAAAATTATTCATCCTCATGCTAGGGGGTATCATTGGGAATATATTGATTCAGCAATACACAATAAGTGTTGAGATATTTAATTACTATGAATATCTATCAATAAATCAGTGAAATTTATATATGAACATAACATACGAGTCCTCTACTAGTATTTTTTAGCTCTCATCGAAGAGTTTGAATGTTTTTTCCTGATAATACAGTTCTACTCTTTTATGTATATTGACTATAGTATATCTCTTAGATGGAGAAGCATGATTATCAGGACTATGCCGAAGGGCTTCACTGGCATAAATGGTAGCTTTTGATAGATTTTTTGGACTATGCACTTTACTTGCAAATACTGATCCTAATTTACACAAAGAGCTAGAAAGTAGTCGTTCACGACTTTTTGTTTCGGAAATAAATTCATCCTTTTTCAGAAATTTATTTAAGAATTTAACTTCAGGACTTCCTGGATCTCCTAACTTTCTAGAAGATATAGCTTTCTGGATCTATGTAAGCAATTCTCTTGCCCATTTCTCATTTGTTTCACACGATCTAAAGACTCAAGGAATATCTTATTGACCCTGATTTTTGCATAACCAGTTACACCTCCATTAGATATACGCAAGTTTTTAATTTCAGAAGGACGAATGCATAACATTATCATCACATCAGCTAGGGCCTGTTTATTGGGTATATTAGACATATCGTACAAATTTAGCCTCTCCTTAACTGATTCTAATGAAAAGTGGTCTGGAAAATCAATTCCTTCATTTTCACATTGATCACTTCGCGCCTTTTGAATTTTGTTAGATGCACAAGTTGTTTCTCGGTCAAATATGGCAGAGGTTATTTCTTCTGAAGCATTGAGATTTCGCAATTCCCTTCGAACTCTGGATATACATGATGAACCAACAATAGCATCAGTAGCTGTTTTAACTAAGGCTCTACGTATTGCTTCCACTTCTTTTTTGCTAAGATTATCTCGTATAATACGCTGAGCCATTTCTTTGAT